AAAATAGAATGATGCCACGTCATGGCCTGAGCTTTCTCCATTACCCCAACAGAGAGCTCTCAGCCCCTCTCATTTTAGACTTTCTTGCTCCCTCATGAAGCCACATAATCACTTCTTTCTCCCTCTCTCATAATGACACCTCATCATGCCTGGCTCACCCCTCTTTCCTCTACGTTTATCCCTTCCAAAATCTTCTCCTAAACTCTCTCTCTACCAAAATCTAATATAATCTAGCCAAGTAGCACCACTATCCCCCACTTTCTCCTAAATTATCTATAATTCCTATTTATCTCCTAAATGTTCTCTAATTTAGTAGAGTTTATCTCCTGAATTATCTTTAATTCCTATTTATCCTCTCCCCCATATTTCATCTATATCTATCAAAATAAAGTTTGAATTAAAAAATTTAATAATTATTTAAATATTATAATAAAATTATGAAATAACTTTAAAATATTTATTAAAAACACAAAAAATATCACATATTTAATAATATTCATATTATTAATAATTTTATACTTTTATGGAATTCATAATGAAATTGTGTACTAACAATATAAATTATAATTTTATGAATTATTCAAATAATAAAAATTTATAATTAAAAAATATTGTTTAAAAATTTAAATAAATAAATATTATAAATAAAAATATTAAACATATTATATAGCAAAATCTTTAATATTATGTAATAAATTTAAATAATGAAAATTTTTAAATGACGAAATTATGTAATAAATTTTAAATAGTTAAATTAATGACAAAATGATCATTAAAAAATACCATAATTAATTAGGGTAATTTTGGTAAGCTTAGGGGTATTTTAGTCAATTCGAGTTTAAGGAGGCCAAAAAATTCTAATCTAATGGTGGTTATTTGGATTAAAAAATGGTGGAGATGGATTTGAGTATATGTAATGGTTTTGCACGTAAGGGCCAATGAGATTGGCCAAAATAGAATCTTTTTAGATGGAGGGAAAACAAGGATATTTTTGGCTAAAATTTCACAGGGTGGGGTTTTTAGGCATTTTGAATGGATTGGTGGGGTTAGATTGGCCTAAATAGGCTCAGATTAGGCAGATCTAGAGGAGTAGTGATTGGGTTAATTTATTAACTTTGAAACAAAATCTTGGTGTAATAATGGAGGGGAAAATAGGGTAATTTTTTGTTGAAATTTGGCATGGTGGTGTTTTTGTACATTATGGATTGATTGGTAAGGTCAAATTGACCCAATTATGCCTAAATAAGGAAGATTTTGAATGTGAAGCTTTGAAACAAAATCTTGGACTGATGTAATACATAGGCTTGAGATTAGGCCCGACCCAATGATGACTCCTAAAGACAAAGAAACACCTACTTGTTTTTTTGAAAATTTTTGAATGTTGGATAAAGTGGCTTTAACATGCACCTTGAAAAAGCAGGAGTACCGACTTCCATGGAGAAAAAATCTGCTATGACCATGGTTGCATGTGACCCCAAGGAACTTATTTGCATGTCATTGGGTGATTGAGGGGTTGCCTTCAACCACGGTGGTAGCAGATTTTCCCTCACTTCCATGAAAGAAGCTAAAGTAACAGGGTGATTGGCTAGCTATGTTAGCGGGGCCGTTTAGGTCAGGCCAGAACACAAAAATTTAAAACGTTTGTCACCATTTAACAGGTCTAGGGGCTAAGAATGATCACCTATCTAGGGGCAGGCCACGCTATCCAGCACATTTAACGGGTCTAGTCACAATGTATGCCACCATTCCTACAAATTCCAAGAATATTTGTATCGTTTCAATCTTTTCAACGAGAAGGAAAGAGTGTTTGTGCACGCCAACGAACTTTCAATTCCAGGATGGGAGAACTGAGAAGGGTAGCTTGCAATTTACAAACAAAACAAAACAATAATTACTGAGGAAAAGCAGATCAAACGACATCTCTGGTGCCAAGTGGGTACTGTAAATTCAGTTTGGAAGGAGAACAAACACAGATATTTGTATTTATAGTATACAAATATGAAATAATATAAAATACATTCTACTTATTTGTATTTATACCCCATCCAAACTTAGTTTTTTGCCAACAAGATAAATCACCAATTGCACAAACCCCTCATCACATGCTACGAAAACCCTTTCCTATCATCTTCTTTATAATTTTTAGCACATTTATGGGCCCATGTACTATCCATGTGCTTTTTAACCATTAAAATAATTTGAGAAACCAACTATAGAATCAACTCTCCACTCCCTCAGGCCTCAGCCAAAGAGAGAATTTAATCCACTCAGAAACCTCCTCGGTACCTTATAAGAAAGCACTTTTCCCACATACATACTCTCACTTGTAAGAGAAAGAAGGGGTTTAGTGTTTCCAACTCTCGAGTCTCTCTCCAAATGGGTAGAAGCCTTTGTTGTTCCAAAGAGGGATTGAACAGAGGAGCTTGGTCTGCTCAAGAAGACAAACTCCTCATGGATTACATTAAAATCCATGGTGAAGGAAAATGGAGAGACCTTCCCAGTAAAGCAGGTGAGTTATCAAGACCCAACCACTTTGCTTTGTTCTCTTCTTGACTTGTAAAAAACTTCAAGATGAACTCAGTAATTATATTTAATTTGGATTCGATTCAATTTGGGTTCATTTATTCGAATGCTTGATATTTAATCCAGGTCTGAAGAGATGCGGAAAGAGTTGTAGGCTTCGTTGGTTGAATTATCTGAGACCAGACATCAAGAGGGGGAACATAAACCATGATGAGGTGGAGCTCATTATCAGGCTTCACAGGCTCCTGGGGAATAAGTAGTATCGATCTGAATATATACCACGCACAAATAATCGTTAAATTAGGTTTTCTAGGTAGTTTTAATTTTTGTGTACGTGATCATGACTGTAATTAAAGCAACTGGTTGTGTTATAATGTGCAGATGGTCGCTGATAGCAAGGAGGCTTCCCGGACGAACAGACAATGAAATCAAGAACTACTGGAACACTAAATTAGTAAAGAAGGTGCAAGATCATCCTAAAACAATAACTACTTCTACTCATAGGCATTCAAACGTGTCTAAAGACGACGGCGACGACAAGAAAAAGAAGCCAATCGAGTCATCACCGACGACCAACAGGGAATCTAGAGTGGTTCGGCCCAAGGCAGTGAGGTGCAGCAAAGTTTTTCTCAGTCCACCATGCAACCAGCTGGTTGAACACGTCAACATTATTGATGCCAGTGCTGCGGTAGTGCCCTCCACCTCCACGACTGGCGTCGACCTTGCGACCTCCACAGCGACAGCGATGGACTCAGAATTCTACAACTACGACGGGCTGTCGTCGTTCTCGTTCACTCTGGGGGAAGATAATTCAGTGGACGATTTTACGATGGATCTCAATGCGGCCGAGTTTTGCCTTTCTGATTTCATCAATTCTGACTTGTTCCAGCTTTGCCAGTTGGATAATGAACTTATGGGGAAGACTGGCTGGTGCAACGACGACAACAATGAGTTAATTCTATCTTCCCATCAACCTCTCTTTCACCCCGACGAGATACTGGAGGAAAAGACGATAAGCGACTGTTTTAAGCCCGACGTCGTTTTGGACCTCCACTCTTTTGACCATTTTTCTTGATTGCGAAGAGAATTCGTTAGTACAATAATTCGAGAGATCGGCTTCGGTGGTCACACAACGTTCGTACAGCCTTTACAGCCTTGCATTGGTATATGTTTAATGCAAGACCGTAAAAGGCTGTAACGGTATGAGGAGCACAGTATCTAGTAGTAACCAAGGATTAATAAATTACCAGAATACACCGTTATTCATTTTTTCCCTTTTATTCGAATAAAAAATGAAAAAAAAAAGAAATTTATCTTTTAAGGTTAGCCTGCCCTAAAATCTATGAAATTTTACCCTGATCAAAACCATAAAACCTATTGAAAAGTTTCTCTTCCCACATTCTTCAAGTCTTCTACTGCGCAGGTATTTGTTTCTCCAATTAAGTCGATCCCTTTCTATTGTTCAAAATCTTCCTCCCATCATTACAATTAAAAATGAAAAAAAAGGACAAATAGAGAGTATGACTTCCCAATTTCCACAAACAATGGTTATTATGGCTCTTACAAAATAATCCCATATACCTTAATAATTGAGCATGGAGGCTTTGGATGCTTTTAATGTATCTAAAATCACATAGATTTCTTGTATAGTATTAACGAGGCCATATTAAAACAAAATGACACCAGCTTTGTCTCTTTCTCAAAACAAGTCCCTATACCTTAATAATTTGAGCATAGAGGCTTTAAATGTATTTGAAGAACTCTAAAATCACAAAGAAGCTTCAAATTTAGGCAAAAAGGAGAGGGGGAGAGGAAGAGGTTCAAGGGTTCTACATTGTTGTCGATAGTATTAAAGAGGTAAGAGGATTATAACAGTTAATTGGTTAAACAACTATTTATGAAGTTTTACCTTGTTCAAAACCTTCCGCCCAAGAACCTGAAGAGAGGGAGAGAGAGAGAGAGAGAACAATCAATGTATGTCTTCCATCGGACGAGTAGAGGGTACAGGACCAGCCAAAAAGCTTCATCTCTACCACCCTTCTTCAAGTCTTCTTTCACCGCCCAAGTATTTGTTTCTCTAAACTCCAGTCTTTTTTTCTACCCACTGAGATGTTCTCTTCATTGTTCAAAGTTTGTCTCCTTGAAACACAGACAGAGAAAATGCTTTTTTCATTTTTTTGTTTCAAAGAAAAAAGGAAAAAGGAGTAATGGAAATCATAAACCCACCTCCCTTCACTTTTATATGTCTCCCCAAATGAGTAACGTGTTAGAACGCGGATGAATGCCCGCGTTGTGTAGCCCATCCAATCTCAAATACACCTAAAATGTTTAAAAACTTTGGGAATGATAGATCCCATCCTATCATTCTTATAAAATTATAGATACGGAAAAGATATAATATCTGAAAAACTTCTCACCAGTCAACGGCTGAAATCATAAAGGTGATAGTCAATCAAGTGTTATTTATCAAAATTCATGGGTGAGTTTTAATTGGTCAAAACTCTTTTGATACTATATCTTTCCCGTATCACAGATTTTTCCATATATACATTGGGTATTGGATATACCAATATTTTAGTCCTTGCTAGTAATTAGAAGATTCATCCCTGTGAAAATACTTAATAAATACCTAATTAATTTGTATTATTTTTAGGACATAAAAGACCCTTCTTCTTCTTCTTCAATTACTTAAACTACCCCGTGGGTCTCTTACAAATACTTAAAGTACCCCTCTGGTTAACTCCCCTCCCTAAGTTTTTCATCATATTGCATTTATACAAGACATCATCACTTGACTGTAATAAATTATAGTATTTCAAAAAAAAGGTTCAATATGATGGAGGAAAGACATGATACGGGAGACACTTACAACCAATCAACCAGCTAATAACCAATCAAGTGGGCTTTCACCAAAATTCATCCCGAGCTATGATTGGTCAAGGCCTTTCCTTCTAGCATCACAAATTTTCCAAAAGTTTCTCTTTTATTTAAACAGATTTTATATTTTTTAGCCAAAAATGATGCCTTTGTTTGGATTACAAGTGGTTTGAACGTCTCATCAATCAAATCATCCTTAGTTTTTTAACAAATCTTGCTGATAGCCTTCAAAAAACACGGGACCCCGACAGTGACAGAGATGTATTTCGTCATCCTTTAAATCTAGGCAAAGCACAAGTCCTTGAATAGCCTCTACAAGTACTTGTGTCATCATCTGTATTTCACCAACGACAGCAACATCATAGAATTCATCAATCGAAACTTTTTCAAAAGTGCAAGAAATGTGATTGGTGAATGGAAGATTTTCTTGCTGATATGGAGGCTAAATAAACAATTTTCTTCTCTTCCAAGGGTTTTAGATCAATCAAGCTCAGGCGAAAGACCAAAGTACAAAGACATTTATAAATATGGATTTCTATTATCTAAAGTCACCACTCAACTCCACCTATTTAATTAGAATATCAGTGACCTTAAAAATCAATATGCATCGACACACGTTGTGATGTTCTTAACCGCGAGACCTAATCTATACTATATTATAGCGGCATAGGCCACAGCAGCATCCCTCTCCACTCATTTCCCCATCTCTCATTTCTCCTTACTCTTTTACCCTTTAAATATAAGTCATGTGGCAGCCCTCTCTTTTTTACTAGTCTCTCTCTCTCTCATATTTCTAATCACTTAACCAATTTTTCCTAAACTATTTCTCCCACCTAAAATTCTTCTTAAAACACCTCTTAATCTATCTTACTAGGGTTAAGTTTGGCTGTTAGGGCCAACAACATATGCTATTGAGACAATTTCTGGGCTGGGCACGTTCCGGGTAGTTCACCTATTCACGCCCATACTTGGGTATTTAGTCAAAATAAATTGAGATGTAATTACTAATTTATCCATTCTCATGGTAATGTGGCATTTCCAGAACAGCCTATGCTGTTGGCCCCCAACAACTAAAGTATTTCCATCTTATTACCTCTTCCCAGCCCTTTCATGTAGGCACGTGAAAGCCCTCTTTTCTTCACTAGAGTCCCACTCCAACTCTCTCTCTCTCTCTCTCTCTTATTACCCCTTCCCAGCCCTTTCATGTAGCCAACCCCCCTCCTAAAAATTCTCCTAAGCTATCTCTCCCACCTAAAATCAATTTCAATAAATATAAATTTATTTTTTATATTTTTAGTAATTTTGATATTTACTATAATTCTTTAGCAATAATTATATTAGTGATTTTGGTAATTGAATTACTAAAAATACCTATTTTGGTAATTTAATTTAGTGAAAGTTGAATTATAAAACTTCTAATCATTCAAATAAATAACTGGAAAATTTTAATAGTTTCCGTAACTATTGAATATTGCATTTATAATTATCATAATTGTGGAACTATATTTATGGGTTTGGGGGATGACCCCCCGGGTAGGAATGGCAATGGATGGGTTCGGAGTAGGGATGATACTCCCTGTCTCGACCCTGAGTTTTAAATTAATCCCCATCAGGAAAAAATTTAGCCTACATCCCTAGTCCCTAAGGGAGATGGGTTCCCCATCAAGGACCTGAATCCCCGAATTTTTTAATTAAATATTTGTTTTCAAAAAGGTATTTATTTAAAATGAAGAAAAATTAAAATGCAAAAACTATTTTAAATATATTTTGATATTTATAATATAAATAATACTACAAATAACATAAATATATCAAATAATATATATATGCATATATTAATTTAATATATATATTATCGAGATAGGGGTGGGGTTTGGACTTCACTCCATGTCCCAGTCCCTATCCCCAATCAAGTATTCCTATTAATCTTATCCCCACCCTGCCCCTACTAAGGCAGCCTCCATCCCCATCCCCGCTTGGTTGGGGAGGCTGAGTACTCAGTGGAGATGGGGGAAGTTGCCATCCCTACCCCTGGATTGTTTAGCCCCACAAAGCAATAAATTTACGCCCTAACATCTTTTTCCTGTGCACCGCAGTGCCACACCGGGGCCTGCTAGTACTATAATAAACCTTTGAGTCCATCCATTTCAGCAATTATAAAATATTGGGAAAAATTAGTTAAACTACCCCAAGTGCGCCTGAGGTTTTTTAAGTTTTTGAAATATGGCTTTTCAAAACGTCACACCATTAAAATAGATAAAGGCTATTTTACACTATTAATCTTCAAATTTTCAAACTCTTTCTCTCTCTCCGATAAATGACAACTATAGCCATCTCCCGCTATTCAGTCTTCAAACATTGGGAAAGGTATATGAATTTGCACTGAAACCAAACACAACCTAATGGATATTTAAAAATATCATTTTAAGTTAGGTGGTGTTCATTTCATGGTTGTATTCGTGTTTCATCTAGTTCGTAAACACAATTTAAAATGGATGACGATAAATTTCGAACCATCGACCATCAACTTGGAGTCTCTCTAAATTATAATGTGTTTTCTGGAATCAAAATTAATTATTATTGGCCAAAATGGTTTTGTAAATGTCTTGTAGGGTTTGAAAGAGGAAAAAGAGAACAAGTGCACATAAGTCCTGAGAAATAGAGGAAATCTTGTATTGTTTTCTACTCTTTTTCATGCTGAAGAATGAAAAACCAAACCTCTTATACAGTTATACCAATGTCCTTTTATATAACACCTCGATCTCATCATTTTTAGGGAAAAAAAAAGAATATTTTCACTGGTGTGAGAAGGCTCCATGTTGTATTGGCTTGGATTTTGGGTAGATGTTTAGATACGGTTGATTGGGGTGGGACCCGCATAAAATGAGTTGGGACTTGGGATCTCCTACCAATAAAACACATTGCAACACCCTACCACTAAAATTATGACACCACACATCTTAACATTGTGGATTCCAAGGATCAAAGTATTGGTATCAGGTAACGTATTAGACAATTCAGATATGAATATGGATACAAATACATTTTGGAAATGCATGGATACAAACAAAAAGAATGAAATCACATGGATACACTGGAAAATACATACAAATTCCACATACACATTAATAACACAAAATTAAGACCAAAATAATCACAAATAATATATAAGTACATAGAAAATGTACATTTTAATGA